CCTCAGCCGTGAAGGAGGAAACAACATACTGTGATGGCACTCTCAACGTCTTGTCAACCACCTGCTCCATCTCATCAACAGTATGTCTCTTACCCTCAATCATGATGGGCTTCCTCTAGTTCTCTGGGGCCCCCTCCTCCGTTACTACCTCATCTGCCCCTCCCATCGGGGCCACCTCCTCCGTCGTCACCTCATCCGTCCCCCCATTGGTGCCTCTCCCTCCGTCGCCACCTCCTCTGTCGTTCCCATCGGGGCCTCTCGCTCTGTTGCCACCTCCTCTGTCTCTCCCATCAGTGCCTCCCCCCCGTCGCCCCCACCCTATCCTCCTCCATAAACAACCAGAATGACTCTAATGTCTCGTCATGCCAAAATGTGGGTGACCCCCCTCTCCATCACCATCTCTGCCACCCTCTCGATCATCTCCACCATCCACTCTGTCCCCCCATCTTCTCTAAGTGTCACTACCGCATCTTGAAAGTCGACAACACAAGACCGTAGCATTCCAATATCATGGGATAGATCATCAACCCTCCCTGTCAACTCTCGTCCCATATCGTCGACCCTCACTGTCAAATAGTTGACCTTCCCCGTCAGATCGTCGACCCTCTCCGTCAACTCTCGTCGTAGCGCGCCGACCTCCTCCGCTATAAATCCAATTAGACGGGCATACAAATCATCAGTGTGTGTCGACGATACACGGGGGACGTGTCTAGACGAGGGAAAAGGAGATACCCTCGGCGGTGGTGATGCCAATGGTGGATGCCCTCGGTGGAGGCGATGCCAATGGCGGTGGTGATGCCCTCGGTGGAGGCTATGCCAATGTCGGCGGCGATGCCCTCGATGGAGATGATGCCAATGGTGGCGGCGATACCCTCAACGGAGGTGATCGTCGATCCAGCGGACCGCCCTCCTACATAAATAACATTAAAAATTATTCAATAAATTTATACATCGACGATATTCAATAAATTATATTTAATTCACATACCCAATCTCGGTCTATACTCGGATTAGACATCTACTCGTCTTCGGTGTGCGGAACGCCTACATCCCACACAAGATCCCAAGCCTCCTCTTCCATCGACGGCGTCAACTCAGGTATGACTTCAAACTGACATGTTGACATTTGAACTAGTTAACGATTATGTAAATAGATTTAAACTACGTATAATATAAATCACAAATGCATAATACTTACCTGAGGATCGTCGAGGAGGGCCGATAACTGTTTCCCAGTGGGATATCCCTCCACTCGCGACAATATCCAATGATGCATCCGAGGGTATCATGTCTCCCCTCGCTTCGCGAAGCGGGCTCCCAGTGCAGGGACTGTCTCACACACCCAAATCTACAACGCATACACTTATTATACATAAATGTAATATACTAAAACTTTAACTTTAATTATATTAAACATTTACCTGCACCGATAAGGGCAACCCATATGTATCGTATTTACGCATTGACCCCCGGGCCTCAAGTGTAATCTAGTGAAGACATGTACGGTGTCTTCGTAGCATCTCTGGCCCCATGGATAGTTGTTGAACGCATCAATGTCATCAACAACTTTCAAATGAAAAATGTCGATGGTAGTCTTCTTGTGATGACACCTCATCACACTCTCGAGGATATAGAGCAGCCCAAGCTTCAATCTATCTAGCATCTGGTCGCACCCCCTAATCACGACCATCAACTCAGGTAGATGCACTGACCCATGTCCCTAGAAGTACGTCTCATACAGCCTATTGCTTCTCTCAATGGTTGCATCGTCGTTCGTAATCCTCAGTCCAGTGATCAAGCTAAACTCATAAATCGAGAAACTGACGACCTTGCCCTCGAGGTCGAAGTGGAAGAAATCATTGTCGACTGGCCTCAAAAGTCGACATAGAAGTGCATCGATGATCTGTCCTGAGTACTGCACCTCTCGCATTTGGTACAGTGGCCACATGAAGGACTGTCACAACATATCTCCGTGATGATCATCAAGCAGCTTCAACGCCACAATAAAACTCTCAAAGCTACTGTTCCAAGTAGCTTTCCCCGCCATCTATCTCAACTCCCCATCTAAATGATACTCCATCCTGCAAAAACTCAAATGTTAGAACATTGAATAATAGATAATAAAGTAACGCATAATCTCAAAAAATTCAAGGCAACCGAATTATAACTATTATACAATACGCAAGACATTGACGCTAATAACAAAATAAATTCAATGCAAATTTAAAAATTAAAATAATTTAGTTTATCTTGTATATTACATTTGGATAATATATTTACAAAAAAAATTTCAAATTAAATACATTTTTAAAAAAAGATAAAGAATATAAATATTATTTAAATAAATTAGAACAAAATCAAAGATTATTTCATAAAAGAAAAAAATAAATTGTTAATTTCAGACAACATTATCTATTCAATTATTAAATTATGTAAAAAAAGGGAATTATAAAAAAATTAACATAATTATTATTTAATCAAATTAATCTTGTAATCATTTAGAAAATATATTTACGAATAAAAAATTTCAAATTAAATACATTTTTAAAAAAATTTAAATATATATATATTATCTAAATAAATTTGAAAAAAAAATTCAAAGATTATTTCATAAAAACAAAAATAAAAGGAACAAAATAAATTGTTAATTTTAGATAATATTCAATTATTAAATTATATAAATAAAAGACAATTATAAAAATTAAATAATTAAATTATATAAATAAAATAAAAGACAATTATAAAAATTAAATAATTAAATAAAATAAATAAAATAAAAGACAATTATAAAAATTAAATAAATAACATAATTATTTAATCAAATAAAAAAATAAATTAATTATAAAAATTGAAAAAAAATAATTAAACAGTCACTGGATCGACTGTTAACAGTCGGGTACGACTGTTTAATAGTCGGCCCATGACTGTTAACAATGATTGGGCCGACTGTTAACAGTCGGCCCACGGCTGTTAACAGTCGAGTACCCGACTGTTAATAGCCGGATCAACCCGACTGTTAACAGTCATCGTCTTCCCGCAGGCGAAATCGCCATTATCAACGATGGAGAGATCCAAAAATTACAAAAAATTCACATTTTTCACTCCATTCACACCCACAATCTAACAACTTTACATGATGATGAATTTAAACCGAATAAGCGTAAAAATAATGAATCTAAAAACTAGAACTTGTAATAATAAACTTCGAGCGCCAAAACTAATTGGAATAGTAGCATACAGGTACGGTTGAACGTTGGTGTTTTCGGCCGGTAGTTGATCGGTCGTTCTTCAGGCAGTTGGCGTCGGTTTTCTTCGAAGGTCGATCGGTCAGTTTGAATTTTTTCTAACAGTCGGGTGTATAGTGAAGGGTAAAATCACCCTTTTAGTATAAACTTACATTTTAACTTTTTTTTATTCATTTAATGATTCAAAGGCCAATACTAAAATTTGCTACCGTCCAAATGTCATTTCCATGTATTTCCTCAATTTTTTGGGAGTAGTTCTGGCTCTTGAACCAATAAACTGGGCTAGGAATGTCGTTGCTAAGTTTGTCTAGTTTGTGATTTGACTTTCTCATGATGTGTAATTACCAAGCGTTTTTGAAGTAGTTGTAGCGTCTTTAATTTTTAGAATTTCATCCATGATGTGTACTTATCTAGTTGGCTGAGGGGGTTTTTCTCTCCTTATATCCAACAAGCTGAGGCATTTTTAGCTTATTTTTAGCTTATTTGACAGAGGTTTAATTAGTATGTCTTCCGTAAATGAGGAATGGCGATTGGCAAAATATTCCTCTATCACCCCTTTGTTCTTAGCCTCTAGATTGGCTATTTGCTTCTTTAGTTGGCTTATTTTTGGCTGATTGCCTGCTCCTTTTGTTGGCTGCTTTTACACATGAAGTTGACAAAATCACAAAAAAGGTTTTCTGTTAAACCGTGTATTCACAATTCCTTTTCATACTGAAATTTTCAAATATAAACCTTATTCCTATAGTAAAACTTTGAAATATTTCGCTACTTTCGAGCCCTCATCTTGCAGCTGACTCTCAAATGCATAAATCCCAATTTCTTTTTTGCTAGAGGTTAAAATTTTGTACTTCGTCATATCTTTATTTCTTAATCGAAATTAATTTCATTCCGTTGTCGAATGCATGAAAGTAACACACATCTACAAATGACCATTCAATCAATAAATGTACATATGTCACCTCACACTTTCATATTCAACACACATTACGTACAAAAAAAAAATACAACCCATGCATTACACGGGCAATACACTAGTGTTATTTAAGTCTTTAAATACACAATCACGAAAGCATATAGTGACAATAAATGAGGAAATTGTATAGAAACTAGTAAAGGCATTAGACGGTGTGAATCTTTGAGGGATAAGCATCCATATTGCCATAGGTACTTGTCCATGCGTAGTTATCATTTGCCATCAATATTGCTTCTGATTTGTGTAATTGACGCCTTGATAATAAGTTTCAGATATAGATGAATGTGTTTGAGACATTCTAACAAGCTCCGAATCCATGACTATTTCTTTTAAATTTGGCCTTTTCTTCCCATTAAGATTTAAGCACATTTGAGCAAGCCTTGCCACCACAATAAGCTCTTCCCTCTTACCCCGCTCTAAGACTTGGGTATCAAAAATTCTTTAAAGATATTCTGCTTCCATACATAACAAAAATCTTATTGCTAAACATTTTTTCTTCTTGTATCTTAGCCAAAGATATTAGCCTTTACCCAGTCAAGAGCTCGACAAGAACAACTCCATAACTATAAACATCACTTTTTTTCGGTAAATCGATTTGACTGGAAGTACTCTGAATCTACATATCTAAATGTTCATCTTACTAGGGTATTTAGATGAGTATGATCCACTATAATTGACCTTGAAATTCCAAAGTCTGAAACTTTTGGCTACATATTTTTCATCAAGCAGTATATTAGTTGACTTCATGTCTTTGTGATGGAGGGGAAAAGAAGTTGTAGAAATTATGCAAGTGCTTCTCCAACTTCAGTATCAATTTTCAAGCATGTGTTCCATGACAATGGAAACTCATCGCTCTTGTCATGGATATGATTGAAAAGGGTTCCATTGCATATGAATTCATTAACTAATAAAGGAACCTCTATTTTCGGGCAACAACCCAACAGCTTAACTACATTTATATGAATACTTTGTGAAAGCATGACAATCTCATTAATGAATTGCTCCACTTGATTTGCATCTACTAACTTAGATTTCTTTATTACTATGATTTTTACATCAGGTAACATTCTTTTATAAACTATCCCTTGACCTCCTTGACCAAGTATTTGACTTAAGGGTAGTTTAGTCTTATTATGTTTCATTAGTTTTGCACTATATAAACCATTGTAATCTTACATTATGCAATCAAGTTTGGAGGCTGCTATCAATCGATTTTCTCTCTTTCTCCTCCATTCTTCATCTTTGGTTTGTTATTTTTTTACATGGTATCAGAGCGGGTTTGATTTTGGATTAAACTTGCAAGGTGTCGTTTTCCGGCGAGCGGCCTTTTGCTACTCGCCCGGCCAATTTTTTTTGTTTTACTTTGTTTCTTTGTCTACGCATTGTCCTGTTCATTGCGGCTAGGGGTTTCACCAAACTGCTACACCTTTATCCCTTTAACATAGATCAGTTCATATAACCATGAATGAAGAGTTCAATTAAAGATTTCTATTTCTGATATATCTGCAAAGGCTTGGGTTTTTCTTCTGGTGCTGAAAAATGGCGGAAAAGCATGAAGCAGCAGAAGAGACGACGATACGGAGGACATGTCGCAGCTTATGCAAAAAAAAAATCGAGCCGAAGAAAGCCCTAGCTCCCTCGGCCGCGCCAAAGCATCAATCGCAAACTAAGCCAGCGACTGCTGCGGGAGAAAAAAAAAGGTGGACTGATGCTGGAGAAAAAAAAAAAGGGCTGTCAACTGGGGGAATCACAAAAACATTGTGCTGCTGAAATATATTATATGCACACATTAGCAGCAACTTTTGAGGAGGAATTGAAGATAAAAAAGGGCAGCCAGCTATTGGAGAAAAGAGGCAGAAGTTGTTGGCCATTTTTTGGAGATTATACATGCAAAAGGCGGCTATTCATGGTGGAAATAATTGAAGGCAGCTTGCATGATCAACATTGTGCTATTATTAATTATATACAAACACATAGAAATTGAGGCAACTGTGAGGCTATGAAGATTTGAGGCTGGTGACAAATCATATACGCAGAAAACAACGAAGAAGAAAGTCGGCTAACGTGAAAAATTTTATACTCTTGGTGGCCGCGGTCGTGGACGTGGTCATGTTTCCAGAGGAGGTTACAGTTGGAGATGTGGTGGCCAGCGACGAGACCTGTGGAGAAGGCAGCACATCCCGGTTGTTGAGAAAAAGGGTGATAGATGACGGAGGTGGTTGTGGTTACAGGTATGACGGGAAGGTGAAGACAGCGGGTACGGCGGTGGAGGCTTCAGCGGAGGTGTGGTACCGGCGAGATGAAACGGCAATGAATTAGGTTGAAATTCTGGGCCGTGAGTTGTCTGTGGGGTTGTCTATGAGATTGTCTATTTAGTTATTGATTGGGCTTAGGCTCATTCTTGGATTGGGGTGGTTGTTGTGGGTTGTGATTGGACCAGGTTATTGATTGGGATTGTTATTGGACTAATGGGCTAGGTAATTTAATTTGCATTGGTTAGTGGGCTGAAGTAATTGGAGGAAGTTATGTTTGAGCTGGGTGTTGGATTACTTAGTTGGGCTTAATTGGGCATATTGACTGGGCCTTCGATTTGTTATTTCCTCTTGGGCTGCAATATTTGTTCTTCGTTTGGCTATTGTTTGGGCTACAATATTTTTCATAGTCTGGGCTACTGATTGGGCTGTGATATTTTTTTTTTGGCTGCTTCATTAAGAATTTTGAAAGGATAGTGAATGGGCTGAATTTTGGGTTGTTTGGTCAGCAATTTAGTTTCTGTAATTGGTTTGGGCTGCTTTTGGCGTATTAGACAACTTATTAGGTCGGTTAATTAATGTTGGATCTAGTTTGGATTGGAAATTTGTTTTGGTGTTGATCCAGTGTATCTGGAATTTGGCATTTGTCTAGCTTGAATTTGAAATTTGTGCCCAGTTCGTGGGATTGAAAATTTCATTTGATGCCCGGTTCACGGGATTTGAAATTTTGGTTTGTTTGCCCAGTTTATGGGATTAGAAATTTTGTTTGTCCAAGCTATCTAGAGTTTGGAATTTGGCATAGTCAGTTCTTGGAATTGATAAGTCAAGTTCATTTGGAATTTGAAATTTGCATCCGTTTGGTTTAGCTGAGATTGTATGGTTTCGTTGGTTATCTGCGGTGGGTTTAGCTGAGATTGTGTGGTTTCGTTGGTTATCTGCAGTTGGGCATCATTTCCCTACCTTTTGTTGCTCTCCGTCGTTGCAACTTGTAGACTTTGCCACAAAGTCAAATTCGATTTATCATTTACGCTTTTTGTTGGTCACTCTCGTTGCTCCTTATCGTAGCATCGTGAGTTTGAGGGTAGATGTTAAAGTAATAAGTTAATTAGGTTAAGGGTAGTTTAGTCTTATTATGTTTCCTTAGTTTTGCACTATATAAACCATTGTAATCTTACATTATGCAATCAAGTTTGGAGGCTGCTATCAATCGATTTTCTCTCTTCCTCCTCCATTCTTTATCTTTGGTTTGTTGTTTTCTTACAACCTCGAAGTAATGAGTTTCTTTTTTCTAGCCTTTTAACAGTGAAAAGTCGTGTTTTTTCAAGTATAACTTCATTAGTTGATGTTTGTTGTTGTACCAAGATACCACCATTTTGTTTGTAAAATTTTTCTTCACGTTTTTTGATTTTTCTCTGCTTCTGAAACTTGAATAAGTTGACAACAATAATAGTAATTCCATTCTAGTTTTCTAGAGTAGGAATATTGATCTATTTTTTTGTTTACTAATTTGATTTTAAGATAACAACGACACGGTATTTAAATACTAATATTAATATTGTGAGTATAGATTATGATATCTTGGTCCGTGCGAATTGTTGTTCATCATATAAAGCCTCCTATATTGTGTTGCCTAATTTGTTTTAAATGTTTAATTTTTATATGTTTTTATTTGATTAATAACAATTTATAAAATTAAAAAAGTTAAATTAATCTAAAATAATGATAATAAGAAAAAATTTCAACAAGCAATTGTATAATATTATTTGTTTTATTATAAAAATGGGCATTTGATTTTATTTAATAATTAACTAGTAACATTTAGGAAAAATTAAGAAAAATAATTTCTACCAGTTATTTAATATGTAAAATATTAATAGAAAATTACCTATTGCAATTTTGCTATGAGACACCATCATTGGAATACAACCAATACCATCTCTTTTGCCATCGCCATAATAACCATCAAGGCAAGAACAATAATAGGAACCTGGAGTATTGGTGCATGTCCGATATGAGATGCATCGATCATTGATGCATTTGTTGATATCCGCCCTGCCTTGCCCGACCCCATCCCACCCACCCCACCC